TAAGATATGTCACTCATCTAGCTGGCAAGCTGGCGCTGGCTGTTGGCAGGAGGCCTCAGAATTTCCTTGATATACTTCTCCACAGGGCTTCTAGAATGGCAGACAGCTTCTCCCAGAGTAATTCAAGAAAGAGCATAGTAGGCCGGGTGCAGTGGCTCACTCCTGTATTCCCTGCACTTTGGGAGGCCAAGGCAGGTGGATCACCTGAAGTCAGGAGTTTGAGACCAGCCTGGCCAACATGATGAAACCCTGTCTCTACGAAAAATACAAAAAAATTAGCCGGGGGTCGTGGCGGGTACCTGTAATCGCAGCTACTCAGGAGCCTGAAGCAGGAGAATCACTTGAACCTGGGAGGGAAAGGTTGCAGTGAGCTGAGATGGCACCATTTTACTCCAGTCTGGGTGACAAGAGCAAAACTTCAACTTGAAAAAAAATAAGAAAGAAAGAGCATAGTAGAAGTCACATTCCATCGTATCCCCAATATCCCATCGGCTACATTAGCCAAAAATCGACGACACATCCCTGTCCTCCAGGAACTCAGAGACTAGTTGGGGAGATAGGGTTATTGTGGGGTGCCATGGGAGCACAGGGTAGGAGTACCTGGCCCCAACTGGACGTGCCTGGCACACAGAGAATGCTCAACAAATCTTAAGTTTTCTTCTTTCTCCAGACCTGATTCCTGTCTGAGGCCCACCTTATTGGTAAAGGTCCTGATGGGTCTTGCTCTCCCAGTTTGTTGACTGGCTCTGCCCAGCTGCTTTGCTGTCCACAGTGCACATGTCTCAGAATGGCACTTTCCAGACTATAGCCTATATCTTGGCTTCCATCAACCAAGTTACTCCCCAGGCAATGGAATAGTCTGCATCTTTTAGGTTAAATGGTGCCCACTGTATTCTTTCTTTCTTCTTTGAATGGTAAAAATATGCATTGGCATACATTATTCCTCAAGATTTCCAGTATTCTCATGTTTTACTATTTGTCTAACACCTAAGATATGTTTTTCTGTTCTCTTGACCCAAAACATTTTTTTCCATTTCACAGTAACTTGAAAATTGGCTTAGAAATCTTTCCTATCCCTTAGAAAAGAACCACTGAAATTACCATTCACCTCTACTTCTTTCAGTGCCTGAGAGACCACCCCACCAACAGGCTGACCTGCATAAGCACTGAACTACGCACATGGAAAAAGGAAAATTGCACATCATTGAAGGGAAACAAATAGCCTGAGGAAGGAAAACCAAATACATTTCAATTCATACAAAGGTAATTGTGAACGTTACATTATTTTCCATTAATAAATATTTCACGGAATAGTTCTGATATCTTATAAGATAAGTCTTTATCACTTTTATTTTTGAAACAAATATTTTCAGTTCAGAGGGAGAGGAAGCAGACCAAGATGGCCAAACAGAAGCCTCCAATGATCATCCTCCCACAAGAACACCAAACTAAACAACTATTCACACAAGAAAGGACCTTCATAAGAACCAAAACTCAGGTGAGCAATTACAGTACCTGATTTTAACATCATAGCTAGGAAAGAGGCCTGAAGAGCATAGGAAAGACATTCTTGAATTGCTGACACAGCCTTCTGTCATCTCCTAGCAGCAGCAGCAACTGCATGGTGCGGAAAGGGAATCTACATGCTTGGGAAGGCAAAGCACAGTGATTGTGGGGCTTTGCATCGGAACTCAGTGCTGCAAAAAGCAACACAGGATAGAATTCAGTGGGCACCAGGCCTAGCCAGAGGGAAATTGTCCACCCCAGGGGTCAGAAACAGTTCCAGCTAGCCCTGGCACCACAGGCTAAAGCGCTCTGGGGTCCTAAATAAACTTGAAAGGCAGTCTAGGCTATAAGGACAATCCCTGGGCAAGTTCTAGCACTGTGCTGGGCTAGGGGCCGGAAGACTTGCGGTGCATGCAACCCAATGAGACACCAGCTGGGGCAGCCAAGGAAGTGCTTGCACCACCCCACCCTCAACCTGAGGCAGCACAGCTTGCAGCTCTGAAAGAGACGCCTTCCTTCTGCTTGAGGAGAGAAAAGAGTAAAGAAGACTTTGTCTTGCAACTTGGATACCAGCTCAGCCACAATAGAATAAGGCATCAGGCAAAGTCCTGAGGCCTCCATTCCAGGCCCCAGCTCCTGAATGACATTTTTAGACACACCCTGGGCCAGAAGGGAATGCACTGCCTTGAAGGGAGGAACCCAGCTATGGCGGGATTCATCACCTTCATTCAGGGGCCCGTGGTACTTGAATAAACATCCGCAGTAGTTGGGCAGTACCCGCTGCAGGTCTAGGCTGAGACCCAGTACCACACTGGCTTCAGGTGTAACCCAGCACATCCCCAGCTATGGTGGCCACAAAGAGAGACTCCTTCTGCTTGAGAGAGGAAAGGGAAGATTAAGAGGGACTTTTTCTTGCAGCTTGTTTACCAACTTGGTCAAGGTTGGGTAGAATACCAAGCAGGCTTCTGGGACCCCTACTTCAGGCCTTGGCTTCTAGATGGCATTTCTGGACCCACCCTAGGCTGGGAGAGGGCTCAGCACCCTGAAGGGAAGGACACAAGTCTGCCTGGATTCACACTTGTTGACTGAAGAGCCCTTGGGCCTTGAGTGAAAGTCAGTGGTAGTGAGGCAGTGGTCACCATGGGCCTTGGGCAGGATCCAGTGGTGTGCTGGCTTCAGGTCTGACCCAGTATAGTCCCAGTGGTGGTGGCCACAGAGGTGCCTGGGTCACCTTTCCCTCAGCTCCAGGCAGCTTAGAACAAAGCAAGAGAGACTTTGTTTGTTTGGGGAAAAGTAAGGAAAAAGAAGAGAATAGGAGTCTCTACCTGGTAATTCAGAGAGTTCTCTTGGATCATACCCAAGACCACCAAAGCGGTACCTCTACAAGCCTGCAAGAGTCACATTGTTACTGGGCTGGGGTTGCCCCCTAATGCAGACACAGTTGCAGTGACCAAAGACTTAGATCACAGCACCCAAGTTCTTTTATGTTTTTGTTTGTGTGTGTGTGTGTGTGTGTGTGTGTTTGTTTTGAGACAGAGCCTTGCTCTGTCACCCAGGCTGGAGCATAATGGCTCACTGAAACCTTTGCCTACCAGGTTCAAGCAATTCTCCTGCCTCAGCCTCCCAAGTAGCTGAGATTACTGGCATATGCCACCACATCCGACTAATTTTGACTTTTTGGTTTTTTGTTTGTTTGTTCGATTTTTTTTTTTTTTTAGTTGAGAGGGGGTTTCTCCCTGTTGGCCAGGCTGTTTCCAAACTCCTGACTTCAGGTGATCCTCCTGCCTGGGCCCCCCAAAGTGCTGGGATTATAGGTATAAGCCACCACACCCAGCCCAAGTCTCTTCAAGTACCAGGAAAGTCTTCTCAAGAAGGATGTACAAACAAATCCAGACTGCAAAGACTATAGTAAATACGTAATTCTTTAATACCCAGACATCAACCAACATCCACACGTATCAAGACCATCCAGGAAAACATGACCTCACCAAGGTAACTAAATAAGGCACCAATGATGAATCCTAGAGTAACAGAGATATGTGACCTTTCAAACAGAATTTAAAATAGCTATTTTGAGAAAAAATAAAAATCAAGACAACACAGAGATGCAACTCAGATTCCTATCAGATAAACTTAACAAAGAGATTGAAATAATTTTTAAAAATCAAGCAGGAATTCTGGAGCTAAAAAATTCAGTTGACATACTGGAGAAAGCATCAGATTCTGTCAACAGAAGAATTTATCAAGATGAAGAAAGAATTAATGAGCTTGAAGTCAGGCTATTTGAAAATACACAGTTAGAGGAGACAAAAGAAAAAAGAACAAAAAAGAATGAAGTTGGCCTTAAAAAGGAGGTAGCCAATACAGTTCCTGGGTGACAAGGGTCCAGATGATCCAACCGGAACAAACTTGGGGGTCCATACCCCAAGGATAAGCTCTCCACCATACTGGCGGGTTGCTTGGTTGGGGAGAGATGCAGAAGAGGGTGAGTGCCCACACATAGTGGGTGAGACAGCTCTCTCCTCTCTCCTTCCCACACTCCCTCAGACACCGGGGTGCTGCAGACGAGGGGACACTGTCCTCTGAGCTGCTTTTAGACTCAGCCTGCTGAGGCACAGGAGGAGACTTCTCAGACTAACACCAAACTACTAGACACTATGCCCATAAAGAAGATAGAAGTGGAAACCAGGCACCCACAAACAAACTAGAAAAGCATGCCAGAGAAACCCTCCCTGGGAGGAAGTGAAAACAACAGGGAACCCTGAGAGAGCCCGCAAGTGCGCTCGGAGAGGCATGCTCCCGCTAGGGTCATCATCAACTACACAATACTGGAAGGACTTTGGCCTTCAGTGATCCTTATCCTGGCCAGTCCTAGAAGAAAGACTCATGAACTTCAGGTGCTTGAGGATCATGTGTTTGGGAAGGAAGGAACAAGACACAAAGTTTGGCACAAAAGTTCAGTGCCGAGGGGAGCAAGAAAAGCACTGGATTTGTGATCAAGGTACTTGAGTTTGAATCTTGGCTTCCCACCTACCGTGAGTGACCTTGATCAATGCTGACAACCTGTTTGGGCCTCCATTTGCTCCCTGGCAAGACGGGGCTAACCTGAGGATTTTTGAGATGTCATTTGAAGTAATTTCTAGAAGAACACTTTACAAATCCAGACATAGCATTATGATTATTATTCCATTTTCTCTTTACTAGTAATGCTCATGAGGCTTGTTTTTTAGTGCTAATACAGTCTCCTAAACACTGAGGGACCGTTACTCAATTTTATGAAGAGTCATCATGCAGCTTATAGCTAATATAATTTAAAATTCTTAAAGTGTACTTAAAGTAGGATTTTCCCCAAATTTTCTGAAATGCATGAATTTTATATAGCAAGTTATACTGACCGTGTCAGAGCACCTCATCACCTGGGCCCCATCTGGTATTGCGTTGTGTAGAATCTGCATGGAACCTCATTTTCTGAGCCCTTCACAGGATGAAGGTTCTCACTGGCTGAAGCAGAAGCTGAAGTTGGGCTGAGTGAGCTGACCCTGCTGCAGCAGCCCCTGCATCACTGTTGGGGTATTCCCCATTGCCGTGTTTGGGTAGACTATTCCCAGGATCCCGTTAAAGTCTGAGTAGTAGAAGGAGTCACTGGGCTCATTCTCACTCAGGCCAAACTCCTGGTTATTGATGATGATGTTCTGAACCTATGACAAGCAGACAATTTAGCTTGACAGTTCAGGTGCACAAATCACATGGCTTCCCAGACTTACATTCCCCTTGATATGGGATCCAGAAACCCTCCTGGGGAGAAGACATTGGCTTCTTTCATCCAGAATCCAACCACAAGTGTGGAAGCGGAAGGTGAAAGGGCAACCTTTTCTTTTTTCTTTTTTTTTTTTTTTATTTATTTTTTCCCATTTATTTTATTGCATTTTAGGTTTTGGGGTACATGTGAAGAACATGCAAAATTGTTGCATAGGAACACACGTGGCAGTGTGATTTGCTGCCTTCCTCCCCATCACCTACATCTGGCATTTCTCCCCTTGCTATCTCTCCCCAGCTTCCCACCCCCCACCGTCCCTCCCCTATTACCCCCCAACTGACCTCAGTGTGTAGTGCTCCCCTCCCTGTGTCCATGTGTTCTCATTGTTCAACACCCACCTATGAGTGAGAACATGCGGTGTTTGATCTTCTGCTCTTCTGTCAGTTTGCTGAGAATGATGGTTTCCAGGTTCATCCATGTCCCTACAAAGAACAGACACTTTACAAAAGAAGACATACGTGAGGCCAACAAACATATGAAAAAATGCTCATTATCACTGGTCATCAGAGAAATGCAAATCAAAACTACATTGAGATACCATCTCACGCCAGATAGAATGGCAATCATTAAAAAATCTGGAGACAACAGATGCTGGAGAGGATGTGGAGAAATAGGAACACTTTTACACTGTTGGTGGGAGTGTAAATTAGTTCAACCATTGTGGAAGACAGTGTGGCAATTCCTCAAGGACATAGAAATAGAAATTCCATTTGACCCAGCAATCCCATTACTGGGTATATAACCAAAAGATTACAAATCGTTCTACTTTTTTCTTTTTTTATTGCATTTTAGGTTTTGGGGTACATGTGAAGAACATGCAAGATTGTTGCATAGGTACACACATGGCAGTGTGGCTTGCTGCCTTCCTCCCCATCACCTATATCTGGCATTTCTCCCCATACTATCTCTCCCTACCTCCCCACCCCCCATCCCTCCCCCATTTCCCCCCAACAGACCCCAGTGTGTAGTGCTCCCCTCCCTGTGTCCATGTGTTCTCATTGTTCAACACCCACCTATGAGTGAGAACATGCGGTGTTTGATTTTCTGCTCTTGTGTCATTTTGCTGAGAAGGATGGTTTCCAGGTTCATCCATGTCCCTACAAAGGACACGAACTCATCATTTTTGATGGCTGCATAATATTCCATGGTGTATATGTACCACATTTTCCCTATCCAGTCTATCATCGATGGGCATTTGGGTTGGTTCCAGGTCCTTGCTATTGTAAACAGTGCTGCAATGAACATTCGTGTGCATGAAGAGCAACCTTTTCAATCACGTGTGTCTTGAAAAAAAGTGTGGATGTTGGAAAAGTGGAAGCAGTTTTTTTCTGGAGTTATAACTGGTTTCCACTTCCACGGACAGTGAAAGAACTGACTGGTTTCATACTGAACAATCTGTGTGCAAAAACGATTAGAGGAATTGTAGGTGTTTAAAGAAATAAAGAAATAGTAGAAAGATTTGTCTTCAAATATTCAAAGTGCGACTGGGTCGAAGAGGAAACAGCCTTATCTGTGTGTTTCCAGAGGGCAAAGTTAGGACCACATAGCAAAGTTGCAAGAAGACACACAACTTGAGCACAACATAGAGGCTTCCTACAGTCAGGACTGCTGTGGAAGAGAATTATGTCTTGGGGCAAAGGCTGAATTAGACAGTCTTTGTGTTCCCTCCAACACTCAGCTTCTGGGAAGCTTGTACCTAATTAGTAAGTATGGATTTCTCTAATAGTGTAAGACTCTAGAAATGGGAGCCAAACCACAGACCGTCAGAGGCTATGAGAACACAACTCACAGTCACGGTGTCATAGCCCAGGAACACACTCAGGCTGCCACTCCCATAGGGCAGTGTATAGGTTTGCCGATTATTTCTGAAGGTGGAGGACAGGCTGGAGTTGAACCTGTTGTGACTGGCTGCAGAAAGACACCATGGAATGTTAGTGTCATTTGCAGTTTTCCAAAACACATGAAAGTACTTATCCTTGATGGATTGGGCTCATCAGTCCAGGGCTGGGATAGGGCATCACCCTAGATCTTTTGCTTATAGACAAACTATGCCAATTCTAGAAAAGCCTATCCCCCTGGATGACACACATTGCCCAAATTCCTTCCAACTGACCATTCCCTGAGGGAAAGATTGCCTCAGTTGTGCGAGGAATACTGGACCACAGGAGGGAGCTGGGTGGAAGGAAAGGAAGCCTTAGTCTGTTTCTGCTGTCTGTCTCCAAAAGAGTCAGCACTTCTGAAAAGTGGTGCTGAAGTCATAGACTGAGAGCAATTTCTAGATGTTCCAAACAGAGGGAGGATAAGTGATGGATATGCACAAACGGCTCTGGACTTAGAATAATGCACCTGCACTCAAATCCCAGATCCGCCCTTCTATCTGCTCCCCTCATGGTGTGGAGGGTGACGGTGACATATTCACAGCAGGCTTGGCTCTGGCAATAGATGGAGGGCACCCACAGATTGGAGGAGCCCCTGTCAAAGAGGACTAGGAAATTTTGGGGTGATGTCCCAAAGCTGATCTCTCCAAAGTAGAAAGACTGAAAAAGAAAGGTTTATCACCTTCATTAAGCAACCAAACCTTGTCTTAAGAATGGATAAGGAGTTAGCCCACAGGAAGCCACATTCTGCCCAAATTGTTTTTTGGGGGGAATGAGAGGCTCATCCCACAAGTTCTCCTTCTTATCTGGATTTAGTTCCTGTCAAGATTCTACCTTTTGTCCCTAATTACAAGCCTTTGGCCAGCCAAGACTTAGTTTGGCAAGGCAATATCCTCTTCCAAATGTGTTTTCTACTTTTACAATAAGCTAATATCTTCATGGATTTACCATGCTACACTGGAGTACCCAGAATTGGGGAAACAATTGCTTTCTCTTCTTTCCACTGTCCAGACACACATACACACACACACACACACACACACACACACACACACATATACATACTCCTCTCCCCTTTCCTTTCAATGTTAGATACTCTTACCACCATTTTCCTCTCTCCCGGTCACACACTAGCAGAGGGTGCTAGGGAGCTGGAGAAGAGAACGCATGGAGAGCAAGAAGAGCTTTTCATTGGAAGGTAGTTTAAGCTCTAAGTTAACTTGGGCCAGTCATGTCACTTATCTGCATTTAGTTTCTTCATCTGTAAAATGTGGGAGTTGAAATAGAAGATCCCTAATGCGGCTTCCAGCTCAGACTGCAACATCTCACTAAGGACAGTCCACAGGACACCAGAATGTCGAGATGCCCTGATGAGACATGGTGGGCTTGAGAACATTCAGACATTTGCTCTGGGGACTTTGCATCTTTCCAAAGAGGGAGAGATGCAGTATCGGAACCACTGGAGCTTTTGCCTGACAGCATCACTTGCATTTTTCTTCTTTCCCCTGCAACTCACTGCCAGGACTTCCTTCAGATCTCTCAGTTGACTTGAACATTTCCACTATGGATCACTTAACCATATAAATGGGGCTTTAGCAGGATGGGCCAGCAATGAGAGAAAAGAAAGAAGGAAAAGGAATTACTATACTCTTAGATGGTACCAACTCACAACTTGTTTTGATTCTTTCCATAGAAAGGGCTTACCATAGTAAGATTTTGGTTTAGTAACTTGTCAAAAATTACAGCTAATGAGCAGTATAAGTGAATGTCTAAGAATGGTGGTTATATAAGGGTTATGGACACTCCTGCCTCATCACTCACATCCATGTAGTTGGTAATGGGCTCATAAGCAACAGCATCATTATTGAAATGATACTTGGTGGTTGGATCAGCCTTTGGGTGGTGCCTCAGAAGCGTCTCCAGTACGCCCTGCTCCTCCACTGTCTGGTGGATAAACTTGCCTTTCCTCAGAATGATCCTGCAGAGACTGATGGAATGATCTTGGCACCATGAAAGCAACCCCTTCAATGACCTGACCTGCAGGGTTCAAATCTCTCTACTCAATAAGAGCCCTCTGTAAGCAATGCTCTCAGATTTTAGCACATTCTACGCACTGCTGTCATCCAGCATTCCCAGTGTGGAATAGACCAGATCAGACCATATTTTGGGGGTGTTGTGTTTATATATTGTTTACAGAGAATAAATATATTGTTTCTTTCTATAAGTTTGGGGTAGGGAGTGTGCATCCTTCCTTCTTAGCCAGCACCCACACCCACCCACCCACCCACTCACACACACACACACACACCTACACACACCATCCATCTATTTCAAGTCTTAACCCCCAGTGGATGTTCATTTCACAGTGCAAGGGTCAACTTGACTGGTGTTCCAGGAGGTCTACAGAGGAAGGCCTTTGCTGTTTCCTAGCTTGTCATGTTCCCTGGAGGCTGGAATCCACAATTAAGCCAAATCCCAATACATACCTTTCCACACCTCCTGAGAGATGTAGACAAGCCAAGACCAAGACCAGGACCCTCATGGTGCTGATTTTCAACTGCCCACCAATGCGCAGGACACAGTGGCAGAGCCAGAGGTTGGGGCACACAGAGGAGGCTCCGTCTCTCTCTTATATCCTGATCCCCCTGCACTTTTGGTCTCTAGGTAACATGGGCTTTCCTACCTGTGTACCAGCTTGTTTGCCTACAAATCTATAGATTCTGTTTTCCCTCTGGCAAGCATCAAGAACTTTTCATATTCACTTTGTAGTGAATTTAAAAAGCAATTAATGGCTTTGCTGGTGAAATCTAAAGATCAGGATTTGACAGCAAATGTAAAATGCACTGAGGTCACAGGACCCTGGTGCCTGTGTCTACTGAGCAATGGGTGCTGGCAACTTCAGCCAGAACAATGGAACAATTTGCTCTTTGGCTCCTGAAGGCATGTGCTTTTCGGAGCTTTGCTGTCTACTCTCTGCTTCTTCCTCTCCTCTCCCTCCCCGTCTGTGTCTCATTGGTAGCCTTCCATATATGATTTTCACAGCCCATGACATTTTTCTTTCTTTATTCTTTACAAATTAGTCAATTCTTATTGAATGCTTGCTCTGCGTTCACCTCTGTACCAAGCTCTGGAAGTACAAAGATAATCAGGAAGTGGTCTTTGTATACAAATGCCTGCATTCCTGCTGGAATAATGAACACATAATCAAACTGTCAGACAATGTGATCACTCTGGGCATTCAAAGGTTTGTTGAATGAGTGAGAGGAATAACAATCTTGTTAAAACAACTGGAGAGAGGGAGTCATAGTTCCTTGTGGGATGGAAAAGGCTTCACAGAGGAGGTAGCATTTAAGTAAGGATCGTGCAGGATATTAAATGAGGAAGTGAAGAAATTTAAACACACACACACGCACACACACACACACACACACACACACACACACACATTGCAAGCAGATGAAAAGCTTAAGCAGTGGCACAAAGGGGTGAAGTTGTGTGATGATTCAGAGAACACTGTGGCCAACGCAGCCAGAAGAGCAATTCTCAGCATGGTTCATCACCAGCCCAAGACCATCAGCAGGGCTTACTGCTTGAGCCCAATTCCCATGACACTAACCGTTACTCTGAATATTATTTTCTATCCAAGAAACCATTTGAAATAGAAAAAACTGTAATGCTGTAATAGGAATACAACGGAGTCTATGATACTATATTGAAGCAGCACATATTTAACACCTTCAGAAATTTAACTATTATACACTGTAATACATATGTTATGTACATATTATACTCATTGAGTAGAGTACTGGAGAGATTTGAATACTGGGCTACTGTAAGAGTAGCACATGGCTAGTTACTACATACAGTACAAGGTATCTATGTGGACATGACTTACGTGATCAGAATCTTGTAAGGTGAACCCTCTATGCCATACCAAGCAACATTGATTTAATTCTGTAAGCAACAATAATCAATTAAAGTTTTTTTAAATCTAGCAAGCAACACACTGAATGCCCTTCTGCTAACCATTTATACATAGTTTTTCATATTGTAGCCTTTCAGAAGTATTGAGAGAAAGAGGCCAGTTACCAAAATGATGCCTTAAGCAAAGTTGTGGCTGGCATGGAGCTTTGTCATGAATCTACCCTAGGCTATGCACAACCCCAAAGAAAGCTCGACTTTATATGTATGACTTCATGTTTCTATGTAGAAATAAGGTTTTTGTTTATTTGTTTTTTGTTCTGTTTCGAGATGGATTTTCACTCTTGTCGCCCAGGCTGGAGTGCAGTGGTGTGATCTCGGCTCACTGCAACCTCCACCTCCCAGATGCAAGTGATTCTCCTGCCTCGCCTCCCAAATAGCTGGGATTACAGGCATGTGCCACCACGTCCAGCTAATTTTGTATTTTTAGTAGAGACAAGGTTTATCCACATTGGTCAGGCTGGTCTCCAACTCCTGACCTCAGATGATCCAACCACCTCACATCCCAAAGCGCTACGATTACAGGTGTGAGCCACCGCGCCCAGCCTAGAAATAAGTTTTTAAAGGGAAACTTCAGAGCCACTGGACACTCGTAATGACCATAACTCCCACATGTTGAATACCAACTTTGTAGCAGACAAATATTTCATGTAATCATTGCAACATGAAATGTTGCAAAACCTTATGAAGCTCATTTAACTTTCCCAAGACCACCCAGCTAATAAAAGGTAAAACTGTGGTTTCAAGTCCGGTTTGTCTGAACTCCTATATAAATAAAGACTCCTCCTCTAGACCTGGTGTGCTTAAGTTCTTTGAGTCAATATACATGAAAGCATCAACTTTAATGATGATGATAAGATTTCATTTAATTTTCTATAGAAAAGTATGTTAATTGCTTTTATCTTTCCTAGTTTTTTTCCTGCCCGCATATAAAACTTAACCCTGATAACTGCTGCCACCTCGTGGCAATATTCCTAACTTACAAAAACAGGGTTTTGAAAGGTTGAAAAGTGTAACTGACTGAAAAATGTCACAATTCAAGTCAGATGTGAAAACAGCTCATAGCATCTCCACGGCTCTTTCCTAAGTGAAGACAACACACGCCTGTTCATTTGTCATGTCTGTTGGAGACTGCCCTTTTCCCCACCCACGTCAAAGCAGCCAAAACATCACCTTTCCAGCTGTTCTTAAGACTTCCCCCATCTCGCATCCGCGCCTCTGGTAGAGGCGGGGTTTCACCATGTTCAATCCTAACAAGCTAGTATTTTTTTCCACACTCCAGAAAACTTTCTTTTTCTTATCTTTTTTTTTCTAGTGTTTGGAAATACACTCCAGAAAACTTTCTCAGGCTCTCTTCCTACCTTTGGAGAGTCTTCTTTGCAGCATAATATTAGTAGAGAAGCTCTCTGAGTGTTTCCACAGCCTAAGATGAAAGAATGTGTAAACTGCAGAGCAGCCTCTGAGTTCTCCGGGATATGTCATTCCTCTCACTCATTTTTAAAGGCTCATGAAGGCTGGTTCCTGAAATATCACACACTGTATTCAGCATAGTGGCTTCTATGTAGCAAGTGCCCGAGAAATAAGTGTGGAATGAGGCTGAGCGTGGTGGCTCACGCCTGTAAACCCAGCACTTTGGGAGCCCGAGGGGGGAAGATCACGAGGTCAGGAGTTAGAGGCCAGCCTGACCAACATGGTGAAACCCCGTCTCTACTAAAAAATTAGCCTGGCATGGTGGCATGCGCCTATAATCCCAGCCATTCAGGAGGCTGAGGCAGGAGAACCGCTTGAACCCGGGAGGCAGAGGTTGCGGTGAGCCGAGGTCACACCACTGCACTCCAGCCTGGATGACAGAGCGAGACTCTGTCTCAAAGAAAAAAAATAAAACAAAATAAATGTGAAATAAGCCAACTATAGAGACAGGGAGAGCAGTAGAATTTCAAAGTGTCCTTTTAAAATACACATATTTTGCCAGTTTGAGCTCATTACAGAGCTCCTATTAGGTTGGTACCAAAGTAATTGTGGTTTTTACCACTACTTTTACTATTATCATGCCTGTAATTTAACTTTTCCTATTAGCTGGGAACAGAAGGAGGAGAGCAGATGCATTTTAAATGAGAATGGAAAGAGGTAGGCACAACATCCTCGGCAACTGATGATATTGGGAAGATAAACATGGAGTGTCACATGGGTCCCAGGAAAAACAGGTGCAGAATGTAGATGTTTTCTTTCTCAAAATTAGTAGAAGTCTAATTAATCCCTTACTTAGTGTTCAGTATTAGACTGCTAATGATGTAACCTTACCAAAAGTTTCTAAAAGACAGAGTGAATTCTCTTACAGTGAATTATCTCACAGTATTTTCTTGATGCTTAGAAAACAAAGACTTACCAGGAGAAAGTGTCCACTTCAAACATGAGTCTTCCCTTCGAGACATTTGCCAGATTTGAAGCTGCATGAGATAGGAGGCCACAGAGTTGAGCTGGGAACTTCTGATGACAAGAGGTGAACCCCCTTAACTCTTTCAAAACTTCAGAGATACATATCCACCAACTGTCAAACAAAATGTCAGAGAAGTCATTCCAGAACAACAGGGACAAATCGAAAGTAGATGAGTATTTCAAAAGCTGCAACTCAACCCTGACCCAGCTCAATCCCTAAATAGATTGGAATTAGCTGGCTTTCAGTTTGACTGCATAACAAAAGAAAAGAAAGACCTTTTTCAATGAAAGAAAAAGTAAAAGGTAGATAATGATACTGGGAAGATCAACATGGAGCTTCGCATGGGGTCCTAGGGAAAACAGGCACAGGATGTAGACATTGTCTTTCTCAAAATGAGGAGAAGCCTAATGTCTTTCTCAAAATGAGGAGAAGTCCTTGCTGTGTGTTCAGTATTAGACTACGTTAACTCCAGGGTATTCACAACTCAACTGACATATTCTCTTCACCTCTTTCCTGAGTTGTTCAGTTCCTCCTGCTCTGCCCTGCCCTTGGCTCTTCCACAGAACCTGACTGTAACCACTGTTCCTGGAAGTCTGTGTTTGAACTGCAGAAACGAATTGCACCAGAGTGTTCCCACTCCAGCTTCAGGGTTGCTGGGAGGCTGAAGAAATGTGAAATTCTACACCAAGGACTATGTTTCCATGGGCTCTGCCAGCCTCTTTTTTTTTTTTTTTTTGAAACAGAGTCTCACTCTTTTACCCAG